TAAAACTCGGCAATTTTATTTCTTATTTGGTTGATTGTAACCAATGATGTATATATTGTAACGATTTTCGGTTCGAGTCCCCTCATGTAGTTTTATATCTTTTAAATTCACTGTTGTGTAGTTTTCTATCTCTTAAACTCACTATCGTGGCAACTTAGTGACAACGCAAGACTGTGAAATTTACTTTTATTTAACCGTAAAACCCAGTGGTTAGTTGCCGTCTTAGTGAGTTAAGAAGTTGAATTGTTGCTAGCTCTAAGTCCGCACAAAAAAAATTGATATTTAACTGAACAGAATGCTTTTCCACAGTCTTGATTAACCAGACTGGTCTCATTAAAAAACAATTACGGTACCGGTCACAGCACTCGAATTCTAATCTTTTTAGGGCATGGGAGGGGGCTCTGTTTTGGATGTGTATTTTTTGGATATTTGTCTGTGATAATTATTGGAAATATAATAGGATTATTACAAAGGATATTTAACATCCACAATATGATAATGGCAAGTACTTTCTGCATATATATGGTCAACCGGCAATTTCTCCATTATTAGAATGTTTAAACTATTGTCTATTGCATTTATAAAGATAGGTTGCCAGGCAACAAAACATACGCCCACAGCAGCTAAATCGTCCGAGCAGTCGACAAGGGTTGTCGCATATTTATTCTTTTGTAGGTAATTAGGGGAATTTAATAGACAATTTCATACAGATGACATTTTAATTTTCGACGTTTGATATTTATTCTTTTGTAGCTAATTAGGGGAATTTAATAAACAATTTCATACAGATGACATTATAATTTTCGTCGTTTGAGGGTTCACAAGGTTCTAAAAACTAAAACAAGGGCCGTAACTCTGGAAGTAATCTACTGAAATTGTTGAAATTCCACAGGCTTTTTAGTTTTACTAATTCAAATAATGCATATAAATTTCATACAGATCGGATGATAACTTTTGTTGTTCGAACTTTCCCAAGGAACAACAAAGTGAAACAAGGGCCATAACTCACGGCGTAATTAACGGAAATTGCTGAAATTCAATAGGCTTCTTCATTTCACTAATTTAAATGATGCTTATCAATTTCAAACAGATCGGATGATAACTGTTGTCATTAGAGCGTTCACAAGATTCAACAAAGTCAAAAAAGGGCCATAACTCTAGATGTAATTAACGGAAATTGCTGAAATTCAATAGGATTCTTTGTTTTACTAATTTGAATGATGCATATAAATTTCATACAGATCGGATGATAACTTTTGTCGTTTGAACGTTCACAAGTTACAACAAAGTGAAACAAGGGCCATAACTCACGGTGTAATGAACGGAAATTGCTGAAATTCGATAGGCTTCTTCGTTTCACTAATTTAAATGATGCATATCAATTTCAAACTGATCAAATGATAACTGTTGTCATTAGAGCATTCACAAGATTCAACAAAGTGAAACAAGGGCCATAATTCTAGATGTAATCAACGGAAATTGCTGAAATTCAATAGGCTTTTTTGTTTTACTAATTTAAATGATGCATATAAATTTCATACAGATCGGATAATAACTTTTGTTGTTAGAGCATTCACAAGGTACAACAAAGTGTAAACAAGGGCCATAACTCAAGGCGTAATTAACGGAAATTGCTGAAACTCAATAGGCTTCTTCGTTTCACTAATTTAAATGATGCATATCAATTTCAAACAGATTAAATGATAAATGTTGTCATTAGAGCGTTCACAAGATTCAACAAAGTCAAAAAAGGGCCATAACTCTAGATGTAATTAACGGAAATTGCTGAAATTCAATAGGCTTCTTTGTTTTACTAATTTGAATGATGCATATAAATTTCATACAGATCGGATGATAACTTTTGTTGTTTGAACGTTCACAAGTTACAACAAAGTGAAACAAGGGCCATAACTCACGGCGTAATGAACGGAAATTGCTGAAATTCGATAGGCTTCTTCGTTTCACTAATTTAAATGATGCATATCAATTTCAAACTGATCAAATGATAACTGTTGTCATTAGAGCATTCACAAGATTCAACAAAGTGAAACAAGGGCCATAATTCTAGATGTAATCAACGGAAATTGCTGAAATTCAATAGGCTTTTTTGTTTTACTAATTTAAATGATGCATATAAATTTCATACAGATCGGATAATAACTTTTGTTGTTAGAGCATTCACAAGGTACAACAAAGTGTAAACAAGGGCCATAACTCAAGGTGTAATTAACGGAAATTGCTGAAACTCAATAGGCTTCTTCGTTTCACTAATTTAAATGATGCATATCAATTTCAAACAGATTAAATGATAAATGTTGTCATTAGAGCGTTCACAAGATTCAACAAAGTGAAACAAGGGCCATAACTCTAGATGTAATTAACGGAAATTGCCGAAATTCAATAGGCTTCTTCGTATCACTAATTTGAATGAAGCATATCAATTTCAAACAGATCGGATGATAACTGTTGTCATTAGAGCGTTCACAAGATTCAACAAAGTGAAACAAGGGCCATTACTCTAGATGTAATTAACGGAAATTGCTGATATTCAATAGGCTTCTTTGTTTTACTAATTTAAATGTTGCATATAAATTTCATACAGATCGGTTGATAACTTTTGTTGTTAGAGCGTTTACAAGGTGCAACAAAGTGAAACAAGGGCCATAACTCCAGAAGAAATTAACGGAAGTTATTGGAATTAAATAGGCTTCTTCATCTCACTAATGCAAACAACATATATCAATTTCAAAACAATCAGATGATAAATGTAGTCTGTAGAGTGTCCACAAGAAATTGTGGACGACGGACGGACGGACCGACGGACTGATAGACCGATAGACGGACGGACGGGGGCGACGGCAATATACGACCACATTTCCATGTGGACGTATAAAAATCAGCCGAATATATAACTTATATTTGGAGTTTTTATTTTCATTTCTATTTCTTTTGTGTTAAAAGATAGGTTGACAGGCAACGAAACATATGCCCACAGCAGCTAAATCGTCCGAGCGGTTGACAAGGGTTGTTGCATATTTATTCCTTTGTAGGTAATTGGGGGTCTTTACAAGACAGTTCCATACAGATCAGATTATAATTTTTGTCGTTTGAGGGTTCACAAGGTTCTACAAACTGAAACAAGGGTCTCATCTCTGGAAGTAATCTACAGAAATTGTTGAAATTTGACAGGCTTTTTTGTTCACTAATTTAAATAATGCATATAAATTTCATATAGATCAGATAATCACTTTTGTCATTCAAACGTTCACAAGGTTCACAATCGCCATAACTCTAGAAATTATTGATGGAAAATGCTGAAATTCAATAGACCTCCGTTTCACAAATTTAAATGATGCATATAAATTTCATACATATCGGATGATAACTTTCATCAATCGAGCATTAACAAGGTTGAACAAAGTGACACAAGGGCCATAACTCTAGAAGTAATTATTGTAAATTGCTGAAATTCAATCGGCTTCCTGGTTTGACTAATTTAAATAATGCATATGGATTTTACAAAGATCGGATGATAACTTCGGCATTAGATCTAGAGCGTTTACAAGGTTGAATAAAGTGAAACGAACCATAATTATAGATACATGTAATAAATTTCATACAGATCGGCAGATAACTTTAGAGGTTAGAGGGTTCACAAAGTGAAACCAGGGCCATAACTCTAGACGTAATAGACGGAAATTGCTGAAATTCAATAGGATTCTTCTCTTTACTAATTTAAATGATGCATGCCAATTTCATACTTTTGATGTTAGAGCATTCACAAGGTTCAACAACGTGAAACAAGGGCCATAACTCTAGATGTAATAAACAGAAATTGCTGAAATTCAAAAGGCTTCTTTAATTGTTTCACTAATTTAAATAATGCATATAAATTTCAGAAAGATCGGATGAAAACTTTTGGCGTTAGAGCATTCACAAGGTTCAATAAAGTGAAACAAGGGTCATAACTCTAGACGTAGTAAACGGAAATGCGTAAATTCAATAGGCTTCTTCGTTTCACTAATTTAAAGGTTGCCCATCAGTTTCATACAGATCGGATGATAATTTTAGCCGTTAGAGCGTTCACATTATTCAACAAAGTGAAACAAGGGCCAAAACTCTAGACCTAATTAACGAAAATTGCTGAAATTCAATAGGATTCTTCATTTTACTTATTTAAATCATGCATATAAATATCATACAAATCGAATGATAACTTTTGTTGTTACAGCGTTGACACGATTCAAGAAAGTGAAACAAGGGCCATAACTCGACATATTTAACAGAAATTGCTGAAATTTAACAGGCTTCTTCGTTTCACTAATTGAAAGGTTGCCCATCAGTTTCATACAGATCGGATGATAATTTTAGTCGTTAGAGCGTTCACAAGGTGCAATAAAGTGAAACAAGGGCCATAATTCAAGAAGAAATTAATGGAAATTATTGAAATTAAATAGGCTTCTTCATCTCACTAATATCAACAACATATATCAATTTCAAAACAATCAGATGATAAATGTAGTCTGTAGAGTGTTCACAAGAAATTGTGGACGACGGACGGACGGACCAACGGCAGCGACGACAAAATACGACCACATTTCCATGTGGCCATATAAAAACTAAGAACTGCACATGCGTACAAGCGTTAAATTTATCGTCCTTTGGAAGTATGTTAAAAAAAACCCGAAGAATTCCGAATAAATTATGCGTTACAGAGCAAAGTTTCAAACTTTAATGTAACCAAGAACCTTAAAGATGGGTTCCCAGGGGTGTTTTTTTCCAATAAATGTGTGCCAATTTTGGTATGTATGGAAAGTAGAAAAATCCAATCTTACAGGGAAAATACTGGATTCCCTGAAAAACACCCATGGGGCAAGCACTGGGCAAAAATGTCAAGGTATCCTTAACTGACAACCTGTCGAATAGTGGACACCCTCAAGCGTGACGTCAAGGGATGCGCGCGCAGCTTGTATGCGGTCATTGCTGTTGGGAGTGCTCTGTGTACATCATAGACTAGTTGATAATGTGATGGCGAGGGCCTGATAAAATATGAGAGACTGAAACGTTCAACAGATTCTGAGATTAAACTGCGGAAAGGGAAATGGGCAGAGGATAATCACAGAAATTACTTAGGCTTTGATATTTATGGTAAATGGACAGCGATTAAATATAAACAAGCTTAATTGAGTGTTGGTAAGTAAGAATGGCTTCTACTTTTGCTTTCGAGTTTTTAATCAGATAAGGCTGGTACTACGTACGTAGTAGTGGATTTCGTTTGAGATATAGGGACCTAATTATTGAACTATGTTAATGTTTGTTTTCTAAAGAGCATTTTGTTTTTATCTCGGCTGATTTATGAACTCGCTGTCAAATGAGGTCGACGATTCTCGTTTGCAAGATGTCAGAACCTAAAAACTAAACATTGACTCTTACTCTTTTCACTTTTTGGGCCATGTGATTCCAAGTGAACCACTTAATTCTCTTTCACCATAGGGCTGTCGACTAGTTAAAATATTTTAAGGTCCATGACTGTATCTAATGGACAATTTTGATGCAATTATTACTAACAAATATCCGTACTTCCCAGAACTTCATAAAATAATGAAATAAGTAAAATAGGCATTTATAAATTTTAGGAACCATCACAAGAAAGAAGGTAGTTGTGAGGTAGTTCTACTTCTACATGACACAAGCTCATCATGTTCATCAAATATAAGTGTTGTGACCCTACTAATTTCGTAAGATATTGCAATATATAGTTATTTTATTTATATTCATTGTAGATCTACATGTATTTTGTTGTAAATGCAAAACACCATTCCTTTGTTTGGTTGTTCATTTTCAAAAATGTATTCCATTATCTATTCTATTTTACTCTGATTAAAGAAAGTGAGACAGACAACGAGCCAAGATTACATACTATCCTAGGGACACCTGTCAATATTTCTAAACTGGTCAGTCCAGAATGTATAATAAGCAATATTTTGTATTACAGGACTGGAAATTCATCTTATAATCGTGTATTTCTGGGGTTGAACAACTGTCACAGGAAGCAGAATTGCTCTCATTTTATGAGTACAATGTATAAAGAAAAAGCAACAGACAAATCTTTCATTGAGTAAGTATTGAACGAAGCAGTTGCAACAATAGTTACATCCAGCATAGTGAATTATGGCTTAGTGTCTATGAATAATGGTGCTGCTTTTTATCTATGACAGGTGGTAATTAGTTTATTATCCATAATGTCTGTAAGATTGTGTAAATATGCAAATTAATACCAGATTTTACATCTAATGTAGGTTTGTGCTTTCTGTGTATTGTTTCTTGTCTGTAGACTTGTTTTGTGTAATTGTGCAGTCCCCCTGCACTTACTATTAATTATTGATATATTTTTTCAGAATATCGGAAGATGCCTCAAATGATCAAGCTGTGTAGTGATGATAAAGATCCACTGTATGTTTATCGATAAGACAATGATATTGACAGCCAAGATAGGGTCAACTTGAAATGTCTTTAAATGTACGTATACAAGTATAGAAATATGATTGTTTTCGTATCTCACTGGAGTTGTCCCTGGTCTCGAGTCAATTTTAAATGTGTCTTCACTAGCCTGGATGCAATGAAATTTAAATGTTTTTTCCAATGAGACAAATTATGACTTTTAATTAGGATATTTTATTTTAGACATCATACTGGTGAATTAGAAAACTGCCACCAACATATTTTAAAAAAGCTAAGTCTCTAACTCAATATCATCCAAAGTCTTCGACATTGAAAACACAAATTATTTGTCAATTTAAATCAACATTGATGTTGTGATCTTACTGGGAAAAGATGGGCTTCTGATATCCAATATTTAAGACAAAATAAACATTTTACCATTGGTACACGAATCGTGTACCATAATGCGTTTCAGCGCTATTTGTAATAAGGGACTCGAAAAACGAGGCTAGGCATAGTCCACAAATCATGTCAAACAGTGACGTTATATTCTTATCTGGAGAGCATGCGCAATAAATACTATGTAGACTAGAATAACCAGATGCTAGAGATTGTCATTTGATTGAGACTTCTGGCGTATTTCGCCGAACATACCTGATTTGAAATTAAGAGTAAAAAGGGAAATGATTAAATGTAAATCAGTTTACATATACATTCATATTACATTATTATATGCGCTGTGACCCATTTGTGTCAACTTCTAGGTCCCAAGTATTAGCGATTTAGCTCATTTAATGTACGCTACAAAAATATTTTTAAATACCAGCGACACAAGGACATGATATGGAGTAGGGTTGATTATCTATCCATCGTGGCTTTTGTTTGGGTCCCCCTTTTTCCTCCCACTGCTACTGACAACTTGGTACCTTATTTAGTCCAGAAATGACCTAGTTTGTATCAAGTGGGTGCTAACCCCCTGCCCACCTGCATTCCTGGCAAAACAAAATACAACTTGTTATTCCAAATATTCTTTTTAATTGTCAATACAATATATTACAAAATTTTACAGATTTCACAGGATGTATTCTAAAAAAAAAGAACAATATACTTGGAAATGAAATGAAATGAAATGGGGTTTAACGTCCTACTGTTTTGCTCCGAACTGGGCTAATGAAGACGGGCATACGCCAAGCAGTGTGCTATGAGGGAAATTTTGCCCGGACAGCGGCACTACGGCCTACTCTTACATCGAATTCCAACTGTCAAGGGATCTTTTACGTGCACGCCAATGTGTACACGGGACCTCGGTTTTTTGTCTCATCCGAATGACTAGACAGCTGTCCTTGTCAGGCCCTCCGTCCTGCATCACTGACAAGGGGAAACCACGCCGGAAAATCTGGATGAACTTTCTCGGCCAATGCAGGGATCGAACACCCGACCTCCAGGCTAGCGAGCCAGCGCCTTACCCACTTAGCCACCGTGATCCCCCAATATACTTGGAATGTGGTTCCTGTTAAAAGTTGAGAAAGAATATGAATATATGGTTGCTATACTGGTTGGAATACTGGATCAAATTAAAAGTCACCAGGGTCCAATCCCTCAAGTATTTCAATAAACTTGCAGATGATGATCCCAGGAGTATAAAAAGAAAGAGTGCAGCTGTGACACCTCCACCAACAAAGGAACTTCTTGCAATAATAAATTGAGATTTGGATAGTAAATTGTACTAAATGTTAAAATTAGAATTTCCTAGATATTTATCATTAATCGTACAGGTAGATAGTTGGATTATCCGGTTCACCCCTATTACTGGAATCTATTACTGTGTCGAAAATGCATAAAGTGTCCAGTTGCACTAGGGAACATTTGTTGGATACGCATTAGTAACACAACTTGGGACAACTCTTCTAATGCTGGTACCAAGATATCTATGCCTCCAAAATGTGGAATTTCTGTATGCTGTATATCTTGCTGTTTTGTTGTAGTTTACCATGTCTACCCATCACATCTCTAAAGTAACCATTGGAAATGGCTAAAACATTTTGATCCATTTCCTGCAGAAGAAATATTTACAAAGATATTTAATATGAAATAGTTTTGTTTACTTACGGTATTTTGTATAACAAAAATTCTAAATGCATACGATTTTATTGTGAATACTAATTTTTATTTATTATAATGCTTTGAACTTACAATTATGTGAAAATACAAAAAGCTGGTTGGCATCCACAGCAAACACATTCTATATCCACTTCCATCTCTACAGTAGTTACAAACACACCAGTCAGGTGAACTATACCTGGTGCTTGAGTCTTGTATCAACAGCATTTATAGTTAGTTGTCTGTAAATAAAATGTTGTGTTGTTTAATTACTCTGGAAATTTTTGAGCACCTTTAAATCTAGGGTATTTGTTAAAAGTTTAATAAAATGTATAAACCTTACTATAAGTTGTTGTCTTCTCTTTTCCATTCGTCCAGCTAATCTTTGTTTGTCCTCCTCCAAAACTGCTTTGCTTGGTGTGCCTTTTGCCCTTGATGTAGAAATACATGTGTCTCGACCCCTGCCCCTAGAACGGTATCTTCCTCTGCCCCTACTTCTTACCACTGGAGCTACCGCTAAAGGAGAATCCTCACTTGAACCAGACCTCGAAACAAGACAATGAGTATTTCGAATTGCAGACTTGTTATCAATGGATGATATTATAAGGAACATATGTTTGAAAAGAATAGATGCAGATGAGGCTTAAAATCCACTTTGCACACAATAAGTTAATTTGGGTCTAACATGGTTCAATTTTATTTCAATAATTTGTTTGCACATTTGAGTTTTTACAAAAGTTTGAGTCTTTAGTAGTAGGAGTTGAAGAAACCCCAAAGGTTGGACAGACGACTCGTGTCACGTACATGTCACACATGTGGGATCGACACCATGTCATTTAACTCAATGACCGACCTTATGTTCTAAAGCATACATATTAGAATCTCCTGCCCCCTGATTAGGAATATCTTGAAAATAAATATATCAATATAATCTTATAAATTTTGTTACAAAAGGAAATATTGAGCATTTGGGAAGTCTACATTACAGTCTTGTGCACATTGAATAATAAACCAAAGAATGAAAATTTATCTATTATTTTAAGGGACAGGTGTTAAAAATTGGAATACTCCCAAACCAAAAAAAATAGTAGCTATGTCCATATAGGCCTATTGCAGGAATTTCTATCAGACAGGCCCTTCCAAGTTATAATATCGCGTTATGAAAGAGTGCTATCATGATATTTGTTCTTGTTTTTTAAACTAGATAGATTAACGTAAAGAAATAAAAAAAGTTAACTGACATTAGTGTAGTGACAAAGATTTTTTCGGTAAGCTATAATAATCCCGAATCAAATTCCAGACGTCTGTGTACAAGAAGGAATCTTAATTTTAACAATAAAGTAAATTTTAATTACCACTGAACTTTCACTTTCCATAGTTCGTTTTCTTTTTGTGTAATCTGTGTTGACGGCCGCATAAATTCCCCACCTCGGGTCAACACGTCCAGATATGTATGCAGCGATACACGTCGTCTTCAACGAATTCTCCCTCGGCCAAATCACGTGACAAACATGGACTCTTAAAATAGGTTTTTATCCCGTATGTGGTTTCCCGACGATACCAGTGCTTTCAGATGGATTTGAAGCAAATTTGTGATGGATAAATTAGTTTGAATATGTTTTTAGTCCAAATATATCACCAAATCACCTAGTTTGTACACGGGAATGTATCTTTAACTCGTTTTGTCACTAAGATTTAACTCCCTTGAGAATGGGAGCCTATTAAATTGGATAATTAACCACAACTCAAATTTCTGACGAACTTTATTTTCTGGTTGCCATCTATACAACTGCCAAATCTCACTCCCATCTTGCATCTCTCGCGAGATCCATCAGGCGGAAGTGACGTCACACATATAAACAAAGGTAAGTATGAAACATAATATTTATACAGATTAACAGAGCTGATCATTTTTTCAGCAGTTTAAAAGCACATGTCCAGATGGTTATATCCTTAAAAATCAAACATGACCAGATTTAAATTGTTGATGAATGAAATGTTTATGGTAAGCCTTTTCATATAATGTTATAATAAACCCCAAATAATATCTATCTGTCAGATGGATTTTCTTCTGACCCTGAACCACTCTAACTAACGCCATCAGTCAAATGTTCTCCATAATGAGGTACAGATACTTTTATTACATTCTTTGACCATGCTAAAATTGATCTGGGAACTTGATTTTTCAGATTATTGCAAATGTTTTTTTAGTTTGGACTAAACGGGTGTTTCAGTCATGGCTGAGGTATCTAATTTGTACATTCTATATTATGCAATATAACTGTGCTGTTCTCCTAGTGTTTTTCAGTACCCTTGACCCTGAAATTATGGGTGTAGGTACTGGTTTCATGGAGCTAAGTCAAAGAGTTTCAGATTTCGGGGGAAAAATAAGTTTTTCACTGATGGCAGCTGTCAATTTGCATATATTGTGCATTATGTAATAAAGTGATTATATTCAAAATGTGTTTATTTGCTTCCCTGGCCGCGAAAACATGGGTTTAGTTAGACACAATTCCCACCAAATTTGAAAATTTGATATCCTAGTTATTCCATTAAGTCAAATTTTCAAAACAATTAGGCAATTTGATCCCATTCCACTAAAAATATTTTGGAACATTTCTGGGATGTTGTTTAGGGTATTATACTGAAATCAATCTGATTAAAATACAGATCTATGTTTCGTTTCGTTTTTTTATACTTTTGATGGCCTACACTATATGAAGATCTGAATAGTTTTACCGAAAGGTCGCGTCAGGGGTCGTACAAGCGCTTTTGACCCTATGAGGTCAGACACTGATTAATCAATCAGCGTTGACGTCTTTACTGGTTTACCCACAGTTCCATGCATGGCACGCCAAGAAGTCGCCGTAACAGATGGTTTCATTGGCTAATACCTCATGCCATCCAGAAAGGTATGTTATATAACAACTCTTCCAGATCCTATAGTCGGGTAAAGATAACCCATATGGAGTGGATACCTAGAACAGAATTTTTCTAGATGGAATCTGGTAGAGGTGTCCCTGAAGGGCTCCCAAACAAAAATCGCCCAAAATAAAAAGATAGATTTTCGAGTAATTAGCATAAATCCAATATGGCCGCCATTGGCACCTTGAAACTCCAATATCTCGGGTGTAAATGTATTACGGGTAGATAGGAAAGTGGTACAGATGACCCAGAAAAACATAGCTAAAAGACGTTCATTGACGTCATACGGCCAATAATTAGCATAAATCCAATATGGCCGCCATTGAAACTTAAAACTCTGATATCTCGGGAATGGTTCAGTTTGGAGGATGTAAATGTATAACGAGTAGATATGAAAGTGCTACCAAAGAACTAGAAAAACAATGCCAGACGACTTCCTTGTGACGTCATAACGTCATATGGCCAACAATTAGCAGAAATCCAATGTGGCCGCCATTGGCACCTTAAAACACCAATATCTCGGGAATGGATGAGTTTGGGGGATATAAATGTATTACGGGTAGATAGGAAAGTGCTATCAAAGAATCAAAACCAGCGGCTGCCAGGCAGGATACGCCCACATTTTCGAGAGATGGATAGAGAACAAGCTAAAAATAAAGTGATTTTTCGTACAATCAGGGGCCATAATTCAGGAAGTTACGTTCCGATATGCGCGAATATCGAAAGGAACCGAGATCTTTGGGTTATATGGTTGATATACCATATTTTTATGCAATTTTAGAATGAAGGGCGGCCATTTTGTCTGTCAGTTTTGGGCCGATTTTTACGAATTTCGAACTCAGTCCTCCTTAGGGTCTATCGGTGATATAATAATACGTTTTTTTAAATCGGATAAAAATTATGACCTCTATGGGCTCCACAAGCTAAAATTGCGATTTTTCGTACAATCAGGGGCCATAATTCAGGAAGCTACGTTCCAATATGGGGAATATCAAATGGAAACGAAATCTTTGGGTTATAAACTTACATTTCAAGTTTCATCAAAATAGGATTAAAATGTGACCTCTAAAGGGTCCACAACCTTGATATACCATATTTTTACGCTATTTGAGAATGAAGGGCGGCCATTTTGTCTTTCAGTTTTGGGCTGATTTTCACGTAATTCGAACTCAGCCGTCCTTAGGGTGTAACGGTGATATCATAATACGTTTTTTTAAATCGGATAAAAATTATGACCTCTATAGGGTCCACAAGCTAAAAACGTGATTTTTCGTACAATCAGGGGCCATAATTCAGGAAGTTACAATCCGATATGCGCGAATATCAAAAGGAACCACGATCTTTGGGTTATAAACTTACATTTCAAGTTTCAACAAAATCAGATAAAAATTGTGAACACTATATAGTACACAACCTTGATATACCATATTTTTACGCTATTTGAGAACGAGGGGCGGCCATTTTGTCTGTCAGTTTTGGGCCGATTTTCACAAAATTTGAACTCAGCCGTCCTTAGGGTGTAACGGTGTTATAATAATACGTTTTTTTAAATCGGATAAAAATTATGATCTCTATAGGGTCCATAAGCTAAAAACGCAATTTTTCGTACAATCAGGGGCCATAATTCAGGAAGTTACGGTCCGATATGCGGGAATATTGAAAGGCACCAAGATCTTTGGGTTATAAACTTATATTTCAAGTTTCAACAAAATTGGATAAAAATTATGACCTCTATAGGGTCCACAACCTTGATATACCATATTTTTACGCTATTTGAAAACGAACGGTGGCCATTTTGTCTGTCAGTTTTGGGCCGATTTTCACGAAATTCGAACTCAACCGTCCTTAGGGTTTAACGATGATATACTAGTACGTTTTTGTTAATCGGATAAAAATTATGACCTCTATAGGGTCCACAAGCAAAAACACGATTTTACGTACAATCCGTGCCATAATTCAGGAAGTTACGTTCAGATATGCGCGCATATCGAAAGGAACCGAGATCTTTGGGTTATAATCATACATTTCAAGTTTAAACTAAATCGGATAAAAATTGTGACCTCTACAGTGTTCACAAGCTAAAAACGTGATTTTTCATACAATCAGGGGCCATAATCCATGAAGTTACAGTACGATACATGCCATTATCGAAAGGAACCGAGATCTTAGGGTGATAAACCTGTATTTCAAGTTTCATTGAAATCAGATAAAAATTGGGACCTGTAGACTGTTCACAAACAATTGTGGACGGACGGACCGACGGACTGACAGGGGCGACGACAATATTTTCATGTGGACGTATAAAAACATTGCCAAATTACGTCACTGTGACGTCGTAACGTTATACGTCCAATCAGGGGTTCCACTTCAAAATTTTCCCAGCCGGTCATTTTTCACGCGGAGAAAGTGGTGCTATTTTTAGCACTTAATAACAACACGATATGGAAATGCTGATCGGCTTTAATTGGGTCAAGGACAGTCACACAGAAATATAATCTCACGTCGGAATTTATACCAAACCACCCCGGCAATAAAGGAACACATGTAATCAATTATCATTGATTTATTTATACATAAATAAAATATATGGTCACCAGAGCCGACTTTCTAAAATTCTGGGAACAAGTCACAAAACTATTCTTGGCGTTATGTTTCTGACAACGATCTTTTAATTAACCAGTGCGTACTGTTGACTATTTCTCCATACACGGCGAAAAGTAGTTCCGAATGATTAACGCATTTAAATAATTCAAAGTCATTGATAAATTTAGAAGTGATATTAATAATTCATTACTTCTGAGTACCATTGCCACCAAGCCGGATACCCACCAACAAGTGGATGTTTATAATGACGTTCTTTCCAAAATACTGGAAAAACATGCTCCACTGAAAACAAAAGAAATCATTATTCGGCCTAATAAACAATGGTACACTGACGAAATACGTGATCATAAGGTTAAACGCAGGAAAGCCGAGAAAACATGGAGAAAAACCAATCTGGAAATTCACAGACAAATTTACAATAAGGCTCGAACTACCACTAATAATTTAATTGAATTGGCTAAACGATCCTTCACTAAGGACTGCCTGTTATCAAACAAGCATAATCCACGTGAAGTCTACAAAATTACAAACAGTCTGCTAAAACCAAGAGAAGTAAAGGTTCTGCCATCGGTTCAAAATGATGCTAGCCTATCAGATCAATTTTCTGAATTTTTCCACGACAAAGTCTCTACCATTCGACAAGGACTCAGTGTAAATAAACCAACAAACATATTCAATGAGAAAAAGTTTGAAGGTTGCACGCTTGAGAGCTTTTGCCTAGCAACAGAAGATGAGATAAGAGAAACAATTCAGAGATCAGCCTCAAAATCATGTTCCCTCGATCCTCTGCCAACATGGATACTAAAGAAGTCTGAAGTGGAGTTAATTCCAGTGATCACCCAAATCGTAAACACGTCTTTAGTAGGCGCAGAAGTTTGTGAAACGCTTAAAACAGCCCATGTGACACCCCTCATTACAAAATCAACCCTTGATCCTAATGTGCTAAAAAAATTATCGACCTGTGTCGAATTTATCTTTCATTTCGAAAATTATAGAAAAAATTGTCCTTAATCGTTTTAAATATCATTTGTGTGAAAACAATCTCCAAGAAAAATTTCAATCAGCATACAAAAAACGGCACAGTACGGAATCCGCCTTACTTCGTGTTCACAATGATATCGTATGTAGCTTGGATCAGAAGAAACCAGTGTCGCTAGTTTTATTGGACTTGAGTGCGGCATTTGATATGATAGATCAATCAATCTTACTCAGGAGACTTGAAACTCGATATGGTATATCCGGAGATGCACTGAAGTGGTTTGAGTCCTATCTGAGTGGAAGAATGTTCAGCGCTATAGAAAACGATTATTATTATTATTATTATTATTATAAAAATGTACAACAATTAACATACTTTTTAAACTTATCAATATATTAACTCATATTAATATTTGGGGAGCTCAAACAATATCGTTCTAGTATTTTCACTCAATAACGTCAATCAGTTGTTACGGCCGACATGGAACCCATGCGTTCAATAATTAGGATAAATCCAATATGGCCACCATTGGAACTATAAACATCCAGTTTCTCGCGGATGGTTGAGTTTAGGGTCTGAAAATGTATCATCTTGTCAAGCAATTCATATATTTCTTGAATATCTATATACATGTCATCAGTTTGTAAAGGTTTTAACAGGAATATTTTACTTGGTTTCTGATAGACCTGGATTTCAATTATGGACTGTACAATTCTTCTGCTAACATTTCTTCTTTATTGGCGATTTCAGGGACTGTAGTATCAAGTATGCAATTGGTTCAGGTTCATGCAAATTGTTGACTATGAATTTCAATCTTTAAGTTGGCGTCGGGTGAATTAGTTAACAAACTTGGCGGGTCTAGTTCTGGAGCTTCTGTCCATGTGTCTCTAGAAGGTCGGTCAATGTAATACTTTGGTCCTTTAACTTTAAGTAATTATTGGATATTACATTCTATAGATTCAAATCCCACGTACTAATGAAGATGAATGATATTTTTATATACATTATAAACCAGCAGCTGCCAGGCACGATAAGGCCACATTTTGCAAGAGATGAATTGAGAACAGGCTAAAAACAAACAGGATTTTTTGTACAATCAGGGGCAATAATCCAGAAAGTTGTCTGAAATGCGCAAATATCAAAAGGGACTGATATCTTTGGGATATAAAGATATGTTTTAAGTTTGATAAAAAATTGTTGACCTCTAGAGGGTCCACAACCTTCGTATTGCATACTTTTACACAATTTGCGTACAAAGAGTGGACATTTTGTTGGGCTGTTTCATTTCGATTTTTCCCGAAATTCGAATTCAACATTCATTATGGTGGAATGGTGATATATTTAAACGTTTTTTAAAATCCGAACTAAATCAAAATTACGGTGTAACAGTGATATATTCGAACGTTTTTTTAAATCGGATAATAATTTTGACCTCTAGCAAGCTGAAAGCTTGATTTTTCGTACAAGGGGCGGCCATTTTGTCCGTCAGTTATAGTCCGATTTTCACGATATTAGAACTCCGCCAAAATTACGGTGTAACGGTGATATATTTGAACGTTTTTATAAATCGGATAATAATTGTGACCCCTTGAGGGACATGAAGCTAAAAACGTGATTTTTCGTACAATGAGGGGCCATAATTCATGAAGTTATGATCCGGTATGTCTGAATATCGAAAGGAAGCAAGATCTTTGGGTTAAAAACTTACATTTCAAGTTTCAACAAAATCAGAAGAAAATCGTGACCTCTAGAGGGTCCACAACATTCATATACCACATTTTTACGCTATTTGAGTACGAGGGGTGGCCATTTTGTCTGTCAGTTTTGGTCCGATTTTTACGAAATTCGAATTCAACCACCCTTAGGGTTTAACGGTGATATATTCAAACAGTTTTTGAAATCGAATAAAAATTATAACCTCCATAGGGTGCATAAGCTAAAAACATGATTTTCCATACAATCAGGGGCCATAATTCAGGAAGTTAAGGTCCGATATGTGCGAATATCGAAAGGAACCGAGATCTTTGGATTATAAACTTATATTTCAAGTTTCAACAAAATCTGATAAAAATTGTGACCTCTATAAGGTCCACAAGCTAAAAATGCAATTTTTCGTACAATCAGGGGCCATAATCCATGAAGTTACAGTCCGATACTTGCCAGTATCAAAAGGAACCAAGATCTTAGGGAGATAAACCTATATTTCAAGTTTCGTTGAAATTGAATAAGAATTGTGACCTGTAGAGTGTCCACAAACAATTGTGGACTGATGCACAGAGGCGACGACAATATACGTCCACATGAAAATGTGGGCGTATAAAAACAGTGAAATTTTGGTAAAATCCTTACCATTGTCAAAATATCCATCAAATTCTATCTGTTTATGACATGTGCTTGATAAACCAAATAAGGTAATGTTCTCCCCCTGGTTTTGGGAGAGTGGGGGTGCTTATTCCATATTTGGGATGGAAATGAACGCCTT